TAAATATAACATTAATTTACATATTAATAATTCAAATACTAAATTAATTATTTTTAACATTTAAATATTATATTTGCTATAATGTACAAATTCGTAAACCTACCGTTAGATATAATTTTAAGAGTTATTATCAATTTTTTTTATTTAAATGCTATTGCTCACTTTACCGAATCTGTCTCATTTAAAAAAATTTTAAAATTAATTGAAGTATTTTTAATAATAGATTATGATCTAAGAAATTATATTTTAAGTTTAAAAATGTAATTATGTGTGAAAAAAGTTATAGCACATTCACAGCACCCATCCAATGGATAGTATCAGTTTGATTTCAAATTATCTAAACCTTAAAATATTCTTATAATTTTTTAAATCATTTAATTATTAAAAATTAATTATAAATTTACTCAAATAGATTGATAGTAATTTAAGATAACTTCTTTACTTCATGAGTATTTATAAAGATTAATGTCTCACTCTGAAGAGGTTCTGTTATCAAATTTATTAATATATTTTATTCAAAAAAATAATTAGTAAAATCTTCAAATAATTTAGTAAGATTTAATTTAATATGTAAATTCTCCAATTATTTTGTAAGATCAAAACAAAATATTTTATTAATAATAATTTTTTATAAAAATTGATTTATAAAATTTTTTAATAATTTAGTAAAATTTATAAAAATTTAAATTCATAAAAAATTTTCAAATAGTTTGATAGTATTCATAAATTTATTTTAGAAATATTTTTTTGGTTATTATTTTTTAATAAATAAATAAATTAATTAAATTCATAAAGACATTTTAAAATAAATAATAAAATTTTTAATTTAAAGTAATGAGTAAAATAATAATTATAGATAAAATTAAGAATAAATAAAAAAAATCTAAAAATAAATCGGGTGCTGTACGCAAGCGACGTGCGGATTCCTGTGTATCCTAGACAAGTTAAGGAATCCTAAAACGGCATCGTTCCAACATTGTATAAAAATAAAAATTTTCTATTTTTCTCAAACCAACCTAACTCTCTCTCTTTTTGAACAGATTATCTCGTACCCCTCTTTAAAGCTCACCGAGAAATTCAAAGGAACGCTGAAAACGATAAAGAAAAAACCAAAAAACAATGGGAATCCTAGATTCCGACCACCAAAAATATCAATTTTATCAGATGATTCAAGTGGTTTTTCAGAAAAAACACAGTAATCTAAAACTAAAAAAAAATTTTAAAAAAACACTCCACTCCGAAAATTCAACCCCACCTTAAAGATCAACCTAGAAACTATACCAAAATTTCAAGATCCAAAAAATAAAAATAAAAATCCTAGAGCAATCCCAAAAAAAATAAGCCTTTTTACGCCACAAAAATGCAATATCCTTTTATTAGTGTTCTCCAATCTCTCAGTGTATCTTTGCGTGATTTTTGGGCACAATTTATAAAAAATTTTAGAGATTTCATTCAATGACAAAAATTAAACCCATCTCAAATAGATTTGACCCATTTATTATCTGATTCATTCTCTTTATTGATATTATCGTGTTTTGTGATTTGATTTTGATTTTATTTAGGCTAAATTTTTGGGATTGAATCCCAAATATCAAATACTTGATTTTTTTAAATTCATTTGTTAATATCTTCTTTTTTATTTTTTATTAATTATCATTTTTTATTAAGACAATAAACCAAAAATAAAACACCAAATAAACCTATGTTTAGGCTTAAAGCCTAAAATCAATTCAATACCCGATTATTCAAATCCAAATCCAATATGAGAACCAACGAGACCTCCCAAAGCCAAATAATTTTGATAAAATCAGAATTGAGGATTCACATGCCCCAAACGAAACAACATTAAATATTTTTCAATTACACCTCTAATGAGATATAATTAAACTCTAATTATCATCAATTAAATTTAAATATCAATTTTAATAAAATTTATTCAATATAAATTTTACTTAAAAATTTTTTAATCACAATTACATTAATTATTATTATTATTTTTAATTTTATCCAAATTAATCTCGCTACACTCATAGTCAAAAAAGAACGGGAGGCACAAGCACATGCAAAAAGACCTCAAACCCAAAACTGTACGGAGTTCCTTTTGGCTAGTTGAACTAATTTAAAACTTAAAAAAGCATTATTACATTAGTATCCAAGACAAGACGTGCTTCAAGCATTACATATTCACTAATGTACTTTTCAAAATGTGTCCAAAGAGATGACTATGGATCATATAGTGCTATTGGATAGTTTAGTCATGATCACCTAGTTTGACACCAAAATGTCTAGCTTTCTGAAATATACGTACATAATGGGAATTCATCGTGATTGAGCGTGATCGATGTTGAGATGTGTGAATAATGCCGAGAGTTGATTAGTTGAACATCAACTCCATTAATATCATCAACATTTCAGCACCATGACTATTGGAAATCTAAGTCCATATCATGACACCCGTAATGCACATGTTAAGTCTAGCCTACGCTTACCTCCTGTTTTGAAATGTATATTCATCATCCATTGGTGATAGAATTTTAAATGAGAGAAAATAACAATTGGAACATAGATTTCAGCAAAATGAAGAAACACTTTCCTCGTACGATGAGACAAAAAACAAAAAATGACTAGTAGTCAACTACTGTGCACGCAAGTTAGGGGGTAGTTGGAACTTGGAAGTATTGGAACGTTTTGCATTTTTAGTGGGAATTAAATTGACCCATTAAACACCTAAATGATTGGAAAGCACAAAGGTTTCGTACCCCATTTTGTTTCGCGTATTTGAATCATTGGTTGGATGTTTAGAGGGTAGCAAACTGTTTCACTTCCCTAGCTCAACCAACCTTGATTACACAATAAACAAAACAATAAAAGAAAACGCATTTACATTGAAGGAAAAGTAATTGAGAAAGGAAAGCAAAGGAAACGAAAGGGGATGGAACTTTTTTTTTTTTTTTGTGGGCCTTTTAATTTCAGGCAAGTGGAAACTGAAAGTGGCAAGGAAGGGTGTGAGTTAATATCATTTTCGGTGAAACTTCAACGTCAACTTTTATGAGTGTTGCATTGCCCGTTTAACAGCCAATTGTAAGCAATCAGCTTGTTTTTTTGGGTTGGGAGTTGGGACCATTTCACTGTATGACTTTGACATAATGCTTTCTTTGACAATAGAATGTGGTTTTTCGAGCCTGTTTTGTTGGGCTTGAGATAATTCTGTAGCTACTTAGTAACGAAGGGTTGTGTGAATCGATTTGCCTCCTTACCGAGTCATCAGCTAGGACAGCAGAGTTCGTTAGTGACGGTCCACTTAGCTGAGATGCTGCCCAACATGGATTCCGACTTTGCCAGGCTAGAGGTCCAGGGGCTAGCAGGCTCACAATTTTCAACCCATATTTATTTTGACTTCTTGGTTTAGGCGGCCTATTCTAAACGTCAGGACTTGAATTAGTGCCCGGCAGGCATACAATTCTTCCTCCAACGACTTTACTGAAAGATCTTAATTCGTGCTTAAAAAATGGGGTTCTGAAAAGCTTAATTCGTCATCAACTAGAATCAAAACTAAACCATTTTCTTCCTATATGAAATTCATTTTCATTCCCACCAAATCCATGTCTGGTACGGAGTATAATATTATAGTAGTTAAAAGACTTTCAGGCAGAAACAAACAGAAAAACAACTAAACAAAAAAACCAGACAGAACCAAGGAAGACAGTGATTGCAATGGATCAAACTATTGAGCCAAATCTGATGCGGTGTCACCTCTGATGATCACGTGAAATGAATCTGTCACAGACGATTATGAATAATAGCTTAACCGCATCTTACGTGATATTCCCAATGTGGTAGGTTGATAGGATATAAATTTGATTCCAAACCTATTAGCTTCAAATTTATTGGTTAGTTATGACGGTAATAGCTTTAAATCTATTAGAACTTGCTTAACTTTGGCAATTTAGAATATTGAAATCTTGACATCTTCTTGGTATGTATGTATGTTAGAAACTAATTTCAGCACATGATACAAGATAATATATACTAATGTTACTAATATATACAAGATATTATATGTTGGACTTTTAGTTCTAATGGTTATGGTTCAATCCTTCATAGCTTTAAGCATAAAAAAATTATTTGACAAAAAAAGAAAATAAAAAATCCTCAAAAGAGCAAGAAACATCACATATATATTAATTATTGAATCAAATATTCGATATTCAACTAATTTAATGTGATATTTGCTATAAAAAATGTAAGAAAATATAATTCTGTTTTGGGATTAATTGGGTTCACCAATGATCACTATCCTTCCTCTTATTTAAAGGCAATTTACCAATAACAAACTATTTAATCATTTAAAATTTTATTCAAGGAGTTTGAATGCAAGTAATGTTCATATTTTTGTAAGATGGTTGAATTAGAGTTTATTTCTAAAAGAATTATTATCGTGAAATAAAAAAAAAAAACCTACTAATACAAAAAAAATTTGATTAATCAGTATAAGGAAACATTGACTTCTGTAATCTTCTTTGATCTTTAAAATGGAAATTTCAAGCTTCATTGAAATGTAAACCCACCCTTGTCTCTCTTGATAAAAAAGGTAAACATATACTAGTAAATAGCGTCTGTGTTGGCCTAAAAATGAGGAAGCAAAGTATATCCTTAATTCTTGCTGCTGAAGAAGACTGATTCAAAGTGTTTAAACTTAACAGGTTCCCTGATCAAATTTGTTAACTTAAATCTCATCATAAAAGATTTTGACTTTGAACTTCCGGAAATTGCCAAGAATTTGATCTCTTCTTTTTTTTTTTTTTGTGCCAGACATGTCCATATATATATATATATATATATATATTACTAATTTCTTGTACCACATATACGAAGTTGCTAAGAACTTAAGACATATTGTTTTCTACTAGCTGTCAACAAAGGCTTTTCTACTTTTGAGTTGATAAGTAGTAGGTCCTAAAATATAAATCAAAAGTATAGTTATGTATAGTTGAAGAAGCTTGAATCTTTGAATTTTTTGGCAAGGCCAAGAAATTTCTTGGATGGAGAGATCATGCATGTACGACAGGGCCATTTATATATATGGTCAGCCCACAGCTTGTGCCGCTGATTAATCAGACTAGGGTTTTGCCAGAATGTTTTTGCTGTAATATGTGGAACAACGTTTCCTTCACAAACGGCAAGCAAATGAAAACAAAACCAATTGATTCTCTAATCTTTTTCCTTGCCATTCCACTAAGAAGGAACAACAAAAGAATTAAACAATTTCGTACCATAAAAGTTTCTGAAACTACAATACCTTATTTTTGTCAGCACTTAGCAGGTAGAGACAGAAACAAAGAGCCGATCTGCTTACATCAATCAACATACAAAGATGTATATACACAATACATTTAACATGTAATTCTGCTTAATGTTCTTTTTTTCTTCTTCTGTTTTTGTATAAATTTAGAAGTGCTCATGCTTGGATCAACAATGATAGGCTCCTCGGACTAGATTTGCTTAGATTAATTAAAAAGTTTGTTGGACTCTAATCTATCAAGGAAACTTATGCATGAAAGAAAATGAAACAAGTAAAAATCCAACAAACAGCATGCCATAAATGAACCTTGCTGGTCAAAATCTCTCTCTTAGCCTAGAACGCCCTAAACCAGTATGTTCCTCTTTTCTCTTAGTATTTCTTGGGTGGAGCAACTTTGACAAGAACCCACCTTTCTTCTTCTCCTTCTTATGATGATCATCACCTTCTTTGCTTCTCATTCTCGAAGCAAAAGCAACTGATCTGCTCTTGGAGAGTATATTCTTGCCACTAAACAATAACAAAGAAAAAGAAGTACCCTTTCCGTCTTTAGTATAACGATAACGATGCATGGGAGAGGAAGAAGAAGAAACTGACGATGAAGAATGATAAGATGACAAAGAAGAAGAAGAATAACAAGAAGAGGCAACAATAGTAGTAGTAGTACGACGTCGTGATCTAGAATGAGCTGATAACTGAGAAAGTTTCTCTCTTAAACAAAGTGAACAAACCCCGGGTGATTGCCTGTGCTTTGGGTGTCTTTTACATCCTTCATTTGGCTTGGATCGCCCACCTCCACCATCCTTTGATGATCTTCTCAAGTTTAACATTAGATTTTTGCTTCTCATCTCTGGAAGAGTCTTGGTCTTGGCTGCGCCTTTGGGCTCTAAAAGGCAAAAGCACTATGTATAAAAGCAAAGTGGAGGGTTGGGGGGATGCGTTTCCAAGAGAGTTTCTAGGATGTTTCCGTTCAAATTTCGCTTTTGACTAACGTTGGCCATCGGATAAAGTGGACGTGATCAAAACAGTGGGATATCTGCGCCGTACTTAGGTTAGAGAATGTTAAAAATTGTAAAATTAATACTAAGCAAAGTAGTCCAATAAAGTTTGTCCACGTTAACATTACTGGGTAATACTTTTAATGATTTTGCTAAAAGAGACAGTGAATTATTGGGCGGTCTTTTTGTCTCTATATATATTTTTGCTGCAATTTCATTTACCTAAGCAAGAAAAAATATATATACATATTTTGAGTGCATGCCTGCCTTTGTGTCCCCAAAGAAATATTTTTATTACCATTTCAAATATGAGGCATTGGAAAAAGATTTAGTTAACTAGGCCATTTAGGTACCTAGCCACTCCCCAACATCCCACCGCATTAATTTATCCATCTATTTAGCACTTATTTTTATAAAAAAATGCTATTAGCCATTTATTTTTAATTGGATGAATTATTATTTTTGGATGATAGAAAGTCAAATCGCAAAATGATGTGATTAGGTGATAATTTTTTTATCAATCATTTAATTAATGAAGTATAAAAAGAATTTAACCATTTATGATGAATTAGTTATTAAAATATTTTTTTGGTAAAGAAAAAATTTTAAGAATAGATAAATTATTCAGTCTCTTAAATCAAAATAAATATGTCGTATCTGATAATTTAAGATATGTGATTGTAGATCGTACATTCGAGATGATCCTAACAAATGATCATCGACAGAACTCGAATACAAAACTTTTTCGTCGAAAAAAACGATTCTAATTGATTGAAACAATCACTTATCAATAATTAATTATTAAAATTACTTCAAAAAAATAATAATTATTTTTTAGTACTATCTTCGATGTAGTATAATTTCCATATATTTTGTGGAAACTTGTTTAGTCCCGAGAAAGAAGAATAAAAGTCAACTAGTGAACACAACAAATGAAAATTTAAGTCTTTTTATTCTAAAAAACATGGGTTGAGTGAATTTTTGAGGAGGTCCATCAGGTAACTTGCTCCATGGAGGGTCCTTACATAATATTAGGGATTAGTTTAGTATAAAATAATAAACTATAAGATAATATAGTATTTTTTTTTATTCCTAAATCATTTTCATTGCAAAAGAAGCTATTGAATAGTTTTTTGGTTTGAATTGTAAAATTAAAACTTTAAATTAAAAAATTATAATTTTTATTATTTAATATTAAGATTGAGTAAAAACGGTTTTTGAACATAAACACTACTTTTAGCCACAATACTAAACTAGTCCCAAGTATATTATCATGGTCTAATGACATATTATAAGCATGCTTAGCAGTAAGTAGGTTAGAAATAAATTGACGACAATGGTCTCAGCACATGTTGTGACTAATGCTTAATTGGTTGGTAACAGTTAAAGAGTTGGACTTGGAATCCACACCCCATTTTCCATCAGGTCTTTTCAGTTCCCTTCATCAATTTCACATTTAACTTATACTGTGTTTGGATTGAGGGAAGTAAAGGGAATGGAAGGAAAACAAAAAAAATAATGAAAATAAAAAAAATTATTTGGATAAATTTTTAATTTAAAGGAAAGGAGAGGGATGAAAATTAATAATTTTTGGTTTTTTTTTGTAATCTTCACCTTTTTAATACTTCAATTTGGAGGAAAAGCTAAAGAGATAAAATTTAAATTTTTTTTATTTTTGTTAAAATACTATTATATTTATATTTTTATTATAATATTAGATTTAATTATAAAACTGATACATTCTACAAAGATAATTTTTTTTATGAATATTTTATATAACATCACGGTTTATAAATATTTTATGATTTTTCAAATTTTACAACAAAACAAGCTAAATTATTATTAAAATAAATTAAAAAACTGAATTAAACATAAAATTAAGAGTAAATTAATAATTAATTAATATATTTTACCGTATTAAACATGTTTAATTTTGTTCAAAAAGATTTATTTATACAAGTTAGATAGTATAAAGATATATTTATATATTATATGTTACTTTATAAAAAATATTATAATGAATTATTTCTTTTTTTTTTACTATTTATCTAACTAATGGTTATTAGAATTTTTTTTTCCTTTCCTTTATTAATTTTAACTATCTAAACAAAAGATATATTTACATTTTCATTTCCTTTAAAAAATTTTCATTTCCTTTCATTTTATTTTATTTCCTTTCTTTTATTAATATGTATATGAACATAGTGTTAAAGTTTGCAACAGTCTTTACCCTGATTGAATGACATTATCCTTTCTACCTTTTTTCTTGCAGATTCGGAACAAGTTCATAATTGGTTTAAGAGAATTGAGTTTTTTTCCCCCTAACTTTATACGTTTTTTTTTATTAAAAAAAATTAAGTGAGGGCAGATTATTCTATTTCCAATTAAGATATGCCACAAATTTTATAAAAAATTATATTAAATTTACATATTGTTGATAAAAAAATTTATTAACAGCTTTCCTCAGTGTAATGAAAACAAATTAACCAACAGGGTAAAAGGAGTAGGTTGAAATTAATATATAGAGAACTAATAAGGACAGTAATGAGATGTCAACAGCTGAATCCTCGAAGTTGGGAGGAAACAAGCATTGGTGGTCTAGCGATCTGGGACATGGATTTTGTTAGGACGCGGAAATGGTACTTCATAGGGGGAGTGGGATTGTTTTCAGCAGCAATTAAAAGCCCATGCTACATGTCATGATCCAACCTTTGTATAGGGTCATGATCAGGTTTAGACTGTCAAGAGTCAACTTTTGCATAAGGTTATGATGTAATAGAGGTGTCAAGGGAAATGTAGATATCTTGTGTTAAGAAAAAATATCTTTATTTCAAATATTGTAACGGTTAGTGGTAACATAATTATAATATTTTATTTTTCTTTAGAAAGTGTGAGCAGTCGATGTATTGTTGAACTGTCTCACTAGTTAAGGTATGTGCTAGGTCACCTATCTATAACTACCATTCTGGCCTCGACGATGGTAGGGAAGTTTTTGATATACTATTCACAATATTAATAAAATATTTTTTTATTCGAAAACCCCGAATGTTGCTATGATGTGCTTTCTTAGCGTCTCAATGTGAATGTCTATAATTGTGTATGCTTGAGATTAACTTGTGACTTATTGTTACCTGTTCAGATATCGGGCTATTTTTGGCTGACTTGTGTGGAAGTGTCCATCCAAGTGTCACACTGTCTATTACTTCATTGAAAAAAGTTTAACCAGTGACATGTGGTATTAGAATACGGTTAAAAAGTGTTAGAGAATTGAGAAAATGGTCACGAGCGGTGGATTCAATTATCAACAGAAAATTAAAGAGCTGGAGGCCGCGGTGGTCGCTTTAAAAGCTCATGTGGTGATAAATGATCGGCTAAGAGAGATCGAGACAACCCGACGAGAGTTGTCCAATACTCTACATAGCTTGAGTGAAGAGGCTAGAGATGCCTTGAATGTTCTTCAAAAAGAGTTTGAGGAGTTTAGAGCCCAAGTGAGTGTTCTACAACTGGTTATGGCCAGATCGAGTTCTAGCTCGACGAAAAGGGAAAAAAGGGCCAAGGTGCCAAAGCCCGATGCTATGAGAGGGCAAGAGATACCAAAGAGCTTGAAAACTTTTTGTTTGACATGGAGCAATACTTTCAAGCTATGCATACTAAATCAGAGGAAGATAAGGTTGCAATGGCGTCAATGTATCTAGCAGGGGATGCCAAGCTATGGTGGTATTCAAAATTTATAAATGATGAATGTCCTATCAAAACTTAGGTGGATTTGAAACATGAATTGAAAAATCAATTCTTTCCTAAAAACATAGAGTATATGGCTCGAAAGAAGCTTTGAGAATTGGTGCAAATAGGAACAATACGGGAGTTTGTAAAGAGCTTTTCTACCTTGATGTTGGATATTATAGACATGTCCAAAAAGGACAAGATGTTCTACTTCCTTGAAGGCCTCAAACCTTGGGCCAAGACGAAATTACAAAGACAAAAGGTGCAAGATGTGGCCACAGCCATGGCTACAGCTGAATGTCTTCATGATTACAATGATGGCTCCTCAAAACAAAAAATCTTATATCATGTGGCAGTAACTCCAACTTTGAGAATGAAAGAAAGATGGTCAGAGTGGACCGACCTTTTAGTAGGAGATCAAACAAAAGGCCCTTTGGTTAAGACAATGCCCAACCCAAGGCAAACAACGCAACAAATTTTAAGCCCAGGCAACCATTAGCTTGTTTTTTATATAAGGGGCTGCATCGAGTGATCGAATGCCTACATAGAGGGGCCCTTAATGCTTTGAGAGCCTTGTCTCAAGAGTCTATGAAAGTGCCCGAGACAGTCAAAAAAATGTAAAAAAATCAGCTAAGATAGGCTCCATGCGATTCCTTAATGCCCTCCATACCCAGCTAAACATGATAAAGAAAAAATCGAGTAGAGGCTTGATATATGTGGACCTGGTACTCAATGAGAAGATCACAAGGGTCATGGTAGATACATGTGCAACTGATACCTTCATCACACCAGAAAAAACAAAAACGTATGGTCTCAAGGTGAGCAAGGACTATGGGCAAATGAAAGTGATTAACTCACTAGCCTTTGAGATTAGTGAAAGTTTCAAGAATGTGATGACCAAGTTGGGGCCATAGGAAGGAAAGATAGACTTCACAGTTTTCCCCATGAATGACTTTGATGTTGTCCTCAGACTGAACTTCATGATGTTGGCTCAGGTGATACCAATCCCCATCGCTAGTTGTTTATTATTCTTAGGGGAGCACCCATGTGTGGTGCCGACCACAATCTTATCGAAGAGTGGAAAGAAAATGATTTCAGCACTACAATTCAAGAAATGGGTAAAGAGAGAGGAGTCTTTTTATGTGGCTATGTCGATTTACAAGGATGGGATGGAATTGGAATCGATACCCGATAGGGTGAAAAAGGTGTTGGGAGAATTTGAGAATGTGATGCTAGAGCAATTACTTAAGATCCTACCTCTTTAAAGATTGGTTGACCATGAAATTGAACTTCTCCCAGGAGTCAAACCCCATGTTAGGGCCTCATACCGCATGGCTCTACCAGAATTGGCTAAACTAAGGAAACAATTGGAGGAACTTTTATAAGTTAGGTTCATTAGGCCGTTAAAAACATTATTTGGAGCACTTATGCTATTTCAGAGGAAGCATGATGGAAGCCTACAATTATATGTAGACTATAGAGCCCTGAACAAGGTTATCATGAGAAACAAATATCCAATTCCTCTTATTATTGATTTGTTTGATCAACTGAGTCGGGCCAAATATTTTTCCAAATTGGACTTAAGGTCCAGCTATCATCAAGTTAAGATTATGGAGGGAGATGAGCTAAAAACTATTTGTGTAACATGGTATGAGGCATTTGAATTTTTTGTTATGCCTTTTGGACTAACCAATGCTCCTGCCACATTTTATACCTTGATGAATCAAGTGTTCCATGATTATCTTGACAAGTTCGTGGTCATTTTTTAGATGACATAGTGGTATATAGCTCCACTTTGAAAGAGCACCAAAAACACCTACTCTTAGTGTTTCAAAGATTACAAGACCATCAATTGTTTGTAAAAAAGAGAAATGTGCATTTGCTCAAACATAAATTCATTTCTTAGGCCATATTGTCTAATAGGACCACATCCAAATGGATATGAAAAAAGTTAGGGCCATCAAGGAGTGGACAACACCAAAGATTGTCAGTGAACTTCACTCGTTTTTAGGATTGGTCAACTATTACAAGAGATTTGTGGAAGGGTACTCTCATATAACTACTGCCCTCACAAACTATTGAAAAAGGAGCATAAATGGTGTTGGACAAGTGAATGTCAAGAAGCTTTTGAGGGATTGAAGGAAGCTATCATAAATGATCCTATCTTGGCTTTTTCTGATGTCGAGAAGCCTTTCGAAGTTCAAACAGATGCATTTGACTTTGCTATTGGGGGAGTGCTATTACAAGAATGGCACCCAATAGCATTTAAAAGTAAGAAGCTAAGTAAAGTCGAGAAGAGATATATAGCTCAAGAGAAAAAACTTTTGACAGTGATTCACTATCTGAGGACTTGGCAACATTATTTATTGGGTTCACACTTTGTTGTGAAGACGGACAACACAGCAGTTAGTCATTTTCTCACCTAACCGAGGCTCACAACGAAGTAAGCCAGATGGTATGAATTTTTAGCTGAATTTGATTTTTATTTTGAGCATACAACTGAAAGAAGTAATCAAGTGGTCAATGCATCGAGTAAACGAGCTGAACTGGCAGCCCTTAGGAGAATTACCCCAATGACAGCTAGTAAAGTCATAATAGACATTCGTAAGCTAATTGAAGATAATTTCAAAAAAGACTATCCAGGTCGAAGCCATCCTGAAGTTAGCAAAAAAAGGGAGTCTAAATACTTTTGACAGAAAATAGAGTCGTGTTAATAAAGGGCCCTCGATTGTTTATGCTGAAGATAGGAGGTCTAAAACAGATGCTGATGAGGAAATACCAGACACACCATAGACGAGTCACCCCGGATGGCAACGTAGTTTAGCTCTATTAAAACAAAGCTATTATTGGCTTCACATGCGACAGGATGTGATGGATTACACCAAAACTTGCCTCATTTGCCAACAGGATAAAGTTGAAAAGAAAAAACTAGCAGGCATGCTTGAACCACTATCGGTACCCACTAGACCTTGAGAAAGTATCTCTTTTGACTTCATATCAAGCCTTCCCAAAGTTGACGATCTTAGATCTATTTGGTAGTGATTGATCATTTTTTGAAGTATGCTACATTCATTCCTGCCCAATAGTATTATACTATAGAAGATACAACACGACTAATGTTTAAACATGTAATCAAATACTAAGACCTCCCTCAAAACATTATCAGTGACAGGGATCCAAGATTCACGGGATCATTTTGGAGAGAGCTTTTCAAGATACTGGGGTCTCAACTCAACATTTTTTCAAGCTACCACCCCTAAATTGATGGTCAAATGGAATGATTCAATGGGTTGCTCGATGAGTACTTAAGGCACTTTGTACAAGCTAATCAAAAAAATTGACCTTCGTTATTGGACGTCGCTCAACTTTGTTTTAACTCCAATAAGAGTTTTTCAACAACCAAGAATCCGTTTGAGGTGGTCACTGGACAACTACCTAGACTACCCCATACTTTCATTAAGCAATATGATGAGAAGAATCCATGAGCCTTCAACCTCAATAAAGAATGGAGATAAAATACAGAGATTGCACAAGCATACCTAGAAGAAGCATCTAAACACATGAAGAAGTGGGTCGATAAGGGTTGTAGAGAACAACAATTCAAGGTCGGAGATCTTGTTCTTGTCATATTAGTGCCCGAACAAACCAGGTTCCTGAGAAAGAAAGATCGTAAATTGGTGCAAAAATATGAATGTCCAGTGAAGATCCTTTCCAGAGTGAGGAATGTCTCTTATAAAATTGATCCACCAAAATGGATGAAAGTGCATCCAATGTTCCATGTGAGCAACCTAAAACCCTTCCATGCAGATCCTGCAGATGCAAGTCACAGAGAGTCAACCAGGGCCATCATCATAACGCCACATTAAAGAGATTCTAGCGGACAGGGTATCCAAGGTATCTAAGAGAATAGTTCGTGAATACTTAGTGAAATGAGAGGGTTTAGGACCAGAAGAAACTGGTTGAAAAAGAGACCATGACCTCCGAGCATTCCAGCGAAAGATTGAAGAGTTTCAAGCCAAGAAATCGACAAGGACGTTAATAGAATAAGTGGGGGAAGATGTCATGAGCCAACCTTTGTATAGGGCCATGACCGGGTAGAGGTGCCAGGGGGGAGGGTAGATCTCTTGTGCTAGTGAAAAGTGTCCCCATTTCAAACATTATAACGGTTAGTGGTATCATAGCTATAAAATCTCATCTGCTCTTTAGAGGGGGTGAACAGTCGGCATATTGTTGGGTTACCTAATTGGTTAAGGTATGTGCTAAGCCACCCATCTAAGGTTGCCCCTTTGGCCTCGACGATGGTGGGAAAGTTCTATTCACGATATTAATAAAATATTTCTTTTATTCAAAAATCTCAAGTGCTGCCTCGATGTGCTATCTTAGTGCCTCAATATGAATGTCTATAATTGTGTATGCTTGAGCTTAACTTGTGGCTTATTGTTGCCTATTCAGATATTGAGCTATCCTTGGCTGACTTGTGTGGAAACATCTATCCAAATACTGCACGATCTATTGCTTCCTTAAGAAAAGCTTAGCCCGTGACACTACACCTGTAATATTGTGACTCTGCTTAAATTTCCCTCTCTTCCAAAGTTTCCTGCAGTTGGGGCCGAAGGACATGCTCTCCCATTTCCCTGGCCAGCCGTTGTGTTTGATTTTAATGACATTATTATTGGACTCTAGAACTAGAAAACTCTATGCATGTCGAGTTGTCGAACCTGTGTACTAAAGAATTCGTATGTCGGCAATGTGTACATTCAGGAAGAACATACTTAAAACCAAATGTATAAAAGCTGAACAAAGAACGAAATATGAACTCCGATTATGGTTACTTTTTTAAGCTTGACGGTGCATGCTGATTGCTAAACCACAAAACCATTGGATAGCCACCGTAAACTTGAGAATTTGATGCAAGAATATTGTGAAACAAATTTAGAAGAAACATAGTTGAAGGTCCTGGAAAAGAATTTCAAATTTACAACCTGCCATCTCGAAAAAGAAAATTGAAAATTTTAGACATTTTTGAGAATTAACATTAAATGTTCAAGACAGCATCATCTTATTGCTTATGTGTCCAGATTTCCCTATTGGGTGTCAGCAATAACATGTTATATAATCATAGAAATGCTGTCCAATAGATTATGTTGAAATGTCGTATATTAATCTTAATCAACCATATCTCACTACTACACCCAATGGTTAAATGGTTTAGAAACTAGCACAAAAATAGAGAACTGCCAAGACCCCGAGCTCATCATCGGACACTACGTGTTGTAAATTGTTTAACATGACTGCAGTAAGATGATGAGACACAAGATCAAGCAACTCTTCTCACTCCATCTGATTATTTACTTAATCCAGCAGCCTCTGTGGTTTTGATATCTCTTGGGCATTGGGATACATAAGGTTTGAGCTGCAAGAACAACAAAGACAACCAAGATCAGCAATAGATGCAGACACTTTATTGGTGAAGCTGTAAATCACAAAGTAGAGAGCTCAAACTGTTTGGGAAACAAAATACATATCAAACCAACTCTCCTTACAGTGAATGACTTAAGTATAGAGATCACAAAAATGCCAACTCTCAGCTAAAATAAAAATAATGGTCATTTGATACCACAAACATGATTACTCAAAATAAGGCCACAGTATTGGACAAAATACATCCCTCTTTCAGGCACAATTAATGTGAGAAACAGGCTTCAATATTTCCAAGATCAGAAATCCGAAATAATCACGCCAACAACCCCCAAGAGTGCAATTCTTTGATATATGTAGGGTTTGGTTTGGCAATACAGAACTATATTTATATTTTTTAAAAGTGAATCTTAACTAACAATTCAAGAATCAACAGTTTAAAACAATTCTAGTAGAAAGGAAAAAGAGAAATGGCACTGGGCTGGGGCAAAGAGCATTAAGGTTCATTTAACATGGTCATGCAGAATGCCCTAATTTCAGTTCCACACAGACAACAAACCCAGGTCTAATACAGTCAACCACAATGCTTCTATGGTACCTACGAGCCTCCCTACATACAAAAGCCCAAGCCTTAAAAAATCAAACTTCTAGGGTTATGACTTCACCATAGTATTTACTAAAGCATCAGAAAACATATCCTTGTTAAGTTTGGAAATGGGAGACTAATAAGTTTCTTGGACAAGTTGTGACTTGTATCTCATATAGAATGCTTTGTACACAAATGGATAATGGAAATTAAAAAATACAAGCAAGGAATGAAATTACCTTGAAGTCAGTCAAATCAGGAACCACATAGTTTGGCAACTTTTCCTGCATCAGAACATACCCACCTGCAGCATATTTTTCAGTTATACTCCAAACAGAAAGCAGATAAATACACCATTCAAGCAATTAAAATTACAAAGTTTCATGCAACAGTCTAAATCATTGGGTTATAATTCAAACTCTGGGAACATAATATGGAACTTGTATTTGTAATTTTTCATCAGATGGCGCTAATATTAAGAATACCTCGCAGGCATACAGGCTACCAGATTTTTTAAGCTTGCAATCATAATCTTTAAACCTAATAACTCAAGCTGCTTCACATAATAAAATTAGCAATAGCTTCCTCATTTGAGTATTGGGAGGATTTTAGGCCACATTCACACAAGCCACACCTCAGATTATGTTTCTTCTCTTTTAACGTAACATGGTTATATTCATGCCCATAAGACTATGAATAATAGCTTAAGAACTCAAAATCACAAGCGGAGTCGTCAAGATATTGGAAAATAATACGCAGCATTCTGTTCGAAACAATTCGTTAGTTTACAAGGAAGATTCTACCGGTTGATTCACCAAAAGCATAGCTAACCACCACGACTGAATCCAAATGATCAAGAAATAAAAATGAAGAATTTTCAAAATCTACTAATCTTACTTTTAACATACTAAACCCCGAACTGATGAATAGATTAACTAATCATTCCCTAATCAACCAACCCTAAATTAAATCAACCAGAGATAATAATAATAATAATAATAATAATAATAATAATAATAATAATAAATCCATAAAATATTTTCGATTAAATCATTTCCACACACCAAAAAAAATTTCTTATGCTTCTCAAACCTAAAAATAATCACTAAATCCTTCAAAACCCACAAGAATAATTATAAGAAGCAATATATATGTCTATATAGAAGTGAATGGAACCTTTGCGAGTGTGGAAACCAGTAGACTTGCAATTCTTTCCCTTGTAGTAATCTCGTGGGGCTCGTTTCGACGAGAGAATGTGGAGCGATGAGGTACGCTTCCTTCGAAACGCCCTTCCTATCCCTAATATCAGTCCCAACGGCATTTTTTCCTCGTTTTAACCGAATTATTAAACCCTGAAAACCAGAATTAAGCCATAATTATCAGATAACTAGATTAATAATTCATCAACTATTATTGGCACAAGTAGAAGGAAGCTTACTGGTTTGAGGGTTCAGCAGATCAAAGAAGCAGAAATAAGCAGTGGGAGGGTTCAGGGGTTTTCTTGAATTTTTAATCTTTTTTTCGACGATGATCCAGTCTGCCCAGGAAATTTTGGGCTAAAAAAAAGTTTAGGCTTTCAACCTAAAAAGCCCAACTTCTCTTGATTCATTAATAATTGGTTAACTTTTAAAACAAAAAAAAAAAAAAAAAAGTAGGATTCTATTTTCATCCTATTTTCTTGTTCCATTTTTTACGTCCCAAAACTAATTCTTTACATTTTGAACATTTATTTTATTCATTATATTGTAATTTGTATTTAATTTTTTAATGTTAAGAATTTAAATGGAAAAAATTAAAAATTTAATATATTAATAAAATTTTCATTTTTTTTCAACGCAAATATGAACTAAAAATATAATACAAACATGTATCATTAGACTTGTTTATGGATTGAGTCGGAACAGATTCAAGTTAGGTTTAGATAATGTATAAATAAATTTCAAATTAATTTAAACCTAATATGATCTGACCACAAATATAGGTATTATTTTGTTGTTCAACTCTCCATCTTTAAAAGATTATCCTACAAACCCATCCATATTTTAAAAATTTTCAGATAATAAAATCAAAATAATTTTTATAATAAATGTTAATTATGATAAAATAAATAATCAACGAAATAAAATATAAAAAAAGCTTTATTATTTTAATTAAGAGTTTGAATGTGATTAGTATATATAAGCAAAAGATATTAATGAATACATATATTATTTATTTATTTATTTTTATGTAATATAAATATAAATATAAATATATAATAATTATTCACACCAAACTTTAAATTTTATATTCAAGGCTTGACCATTTTTTAAACAGACCTAAAATTTAAATCTAAAGTTTTTTTAATAGATCTAAAATTTATATCCAAATATTTTAAAATTTTGAACTGATTTCCAAGTTTTTGGTGATAGTCTAATTTTTTAACAAATCTAGATATTATTATTTATACTAATATTAAAACCTTTAACAGAATTTGGCGCACAAGTTAAGTGATACCAACTTATCAATTGGTGAATTAACAAAAAAAAAAATTGCATCATGTAACAATAAAAAAAAAAAGGTATGCTAATTTGTTTTGTTAAAAATATAAATGAAAATGAATTATTTTTAATTTCACACATGTGCCTTTTTTTTCTGTTTTAAAATTATAAATCAGTTATTTTTAAATATTTAATAATTTAATTTATTCAAAAAAAAAATTATATACTATTTCACCCGTGTCAAAGATTAACAATCTTTAATAACATTTTAAAATTTAAAATTTAATACTTATAATTTTTTTATATATTTAAATTCTCACTTTTTTATATAAAAAACATTTATGAAATAAGAAAATAGTAGCGGCAGGCTTAGGTAGATAATGTCAACTATGCTAGAGCCTAGTCTATGAAGGCTTTAATAAAATATCCTTTTAATAAAATGATTTGGCAATCAAGAAGCTAAAAGTCACATCATTTTAATTGTTAATAAACAGAATCATGTTATTAATAATTCGCAAGGTTAGACGTACAAAACAGAGGTATATGAAATCTTACTATTACAAATTTAAAAGTGCTGGGACACACTTGTCGTCAATCATTGAACATTGATTAATTTTAAAAGCAAAATCATACATTTCGCAGCAAAAGCATGGACCAATTATATAATATATTTTTATTTGTGTATTTAATGTTCGAATAAAAAAAATTAAGAACTATAAAATTTTTTTTCTTATTTAAAAATTCATTCTTGTCATCTTAAATTTCGAGTTTCAATTTTAACAATGTAAAGTTTGTATTTTTACTCTGTACCAATCTTTGTGTTCTTCTAATGTCCGATCCCTTTAGCAAGCAGCAACAGGACAACAAAAGACAATCTTATCAACCATGTAGTAATGGCAGTTGTTCAGATTAAAAATCAAAGAACAGAAAACAAAGTTCTTTTGGAACTTTTCATTATCATTTTCCACCGATAGAGAGAAAAAAAAAAAAAAAAGGGTATAAATATCTCAATAGGCAGAATATTTTCAGTGGTGGGGGGATGGCATTGCATACGGATATATGGATCCTCCTTTGCGATTTACAAGCATTTGTTTGCCAATATCTTCTTCTACGATTCTCTTGCAAATAGACAAATAGTCGTTTAGTCGCTTTCCAATTGTTTAACTTCCTATACTTTTTGCTTCATTGTTTCAATTTAACAAAGATAATGTCGATGACTAATGGTCAATTTAGTGACATCAAATTCAATCCTTGTGTAAATGTCTACACGTGCTTGAAATAATCAGAAAAGGAGAGAAAAAATGTATGTACTGTATGTTATAGTTTGTAAAGTTGTTGATTTCATGCCATTGAACAAACATAAATGTCGAAAATGGAGTAACAATTAAACTATACACGACCCATACATAGGCTTCTCAGGAATTGAGTGCCAATCCTAACTTAGTAACATTGGTTGATGATGCAAAGAAAATTTGTGGGGTGAAAGATTTGGTTGGTACTAGGGATTGCCACAAACAAGGAAAAGCTATAGCTAGATGCTTTAGGGGCATCAACAGTGAAACATAGATGACATATGGGACCCATTTCTGACGTGAGAGAGACTTGTAGGAGCCAAGAGTCGCAGCAGCTTTGTGGTCTGTCCCTTTCCCACCCAAACTAGAAAAGTGGAAAGGGACCAGCGTTATCTCCTCCTCCACACGTTGTAACAATCACAGCTCGAGATGTGCATTGAAGTGAAGCTCGGGAAACTGTTTTAGGCATTTTAATAATAATTTAGTAATAATCATCAATTGCAATGCAATCAAACATTTAGACCAGACTAAGGAGTGCATTTGTGATTTTTAGGCGATCAGGGATGAGATGGGGCTTTCATATTTTGGTATTTTATGGTTGAAACTTGCGAGAATTTCCTCCCTTCATTGAAGAGAAATTGGGTGGTGAGTGTGTCTGGTTTAAACCATAGACAAGTCCCTTTTGTTTTAAGGAGTGGTACCCAAAGAAGAGAAAAAGAGCTCTCTTGTTATTCTCTTGCTATTTAATTTTGTTAGCTATTGGTCAGGATCTACTTTTTACCAACCACATGGGCTGATGGGCGCCCATCAGAAACGAGAACAGGGAAAGTGAAAGGAAACAGAAAAAAGATTGGACCAAAGAGGTTCTCCTTTGTCTATACCTATGGGGGGATTTTGGTTGGCTTTCTTAAATGGAAAACAGCTTTGGCCAGTCATATTTTGCATTTCAGCAATTTCAGCTTAAAACCTGTTAAAATTCACAACTTTCAAGTTGAAGCAGAGATATCAATCTTAATCTTTTGTTTTTACATTAATTCAGGCTAGCGCTTCCAGTTTTGCAGTCAAACCAGTGGTGGGTGTCCCAAAAAGAAAAAGAAAGGAACTCTGTGGTAGGGCTAGAATGGTTGCATCAAGTATCCAATATGGCCATTGAACAGCCAGCATCGTGCTGCTGCTGCTGCTGCTATTTGAATTTTCAAACAGGATCCTCACTCCTCAGCCAATTCCCTGGATTAAACTGGCAACGCAAAAAGCACATGCTATTGAGAAATGACATCTCCTTGATGTGAACTCCACTTACACTCTAGTCAATTGTCTACTTGGAAGTTCGAACAATAATTTCTTCTATATGACAAGAAATTAGCAGCTTATTCTAAATATAAACACCACATTTTGAGATCATTTACCTACTTCCTTTTGTTTATATTACATTAATTTTACAGCAGATATTTTGCTCGTCCGTTGTTGAAGCACATACTAAACATTTTTTTTTTTGAAATCAATAGAAGAACAGAACTTAGCTCCTAAATGACAAAACTTTCAAGGCTATTTTATTCCTTATGCAAGAATTATAAAAGCTTTATGGTGTTGACGGTTATAGGGACTTCATTCTTTTTACTGCCCCGTGAAGTACCATTGAAGAGTTGGAGCTTGATCAACTGAGAAGAAATTGCAAGATTCCTCTGCAGTAAACGTACATTGCTCTTCCACTTTCACTAACTGGGGGTGATACATATTACCCAGAATCATTCTGGAGTCAAATGATTGAAACCATTGATGATTTGATGAATCTGAACATGAAGAAGATCCATTAAACCGAAAAGGAGAAGAAGAAGCTGGCGATATCAATAACTGAGCATTGACATTGCAGTCTTCTTTAACAATTCCAATGGAATCATCATCATTGTCACAAAAATCGTGGTCCTTGGTCTGCTGTGAAACTTTTGGAGAATCTTCTTTAACAGACTGACTGCTTTCTGAATTCTCTTCTTTGAGCTTTGCTTTCAGCTCTCTCAACTGCAATTCAGCATCCAAAATCATGTTAAACTTCCAAGAATTTTAACTTCTAATAACTGCAATCAAAATGGGATTTTACTATACCTTTGCAGTTAAAGCTTCTTTTTCTTGTTCAAGATTGTTATAGTCAAGCTTAAGAGCATCATAATTGGCTTTAAGGATAGTATAGTCTTTCTCCAACTGCTTGGTCTTCCAACGAGCACGGCGATTTTGGAACCAAATAGCTACTTGCCTTGGCTGCAGGCCTAATTCTTCTGCTAATTTCACCTTTCTCTCTGGCTCTAGCTTGTTTTCCACCTCGAAATTTTTCTCCAATGCCTTAACTTGATGGATAGACAATCGCCTTTTCTTCTCAGTAGCTTGACCTGCTTCTCCTAAGCTGTCTTCCTCCTCCAAACCATCTAACATTGCCTGGAATTCCCTGCTGTAAACTTGCTTGTTTTTTGAATTCTTCTCCTCTACACAATTTAACAAATTTAATTCATTATCATGGGCTACAGAAACATAAAAATATATTGCAGAATTTTCTTAAAACAAAAAAAAAACTATTTGGCTGCTAAACATGGGAAATAAAATATAGAATTTTTAAAGCCTAACCCAACAAAAATGAGGTCTAAAGTAAAAGAAGACAGATGTTTCTGATTCTGAATTATGGTGTAGAGTAATAGTTAAATGTCCTGTACCTTTAGGTGGACAGATGGAAATCAAAGCATCCAGGGAACCCGAGGAACTGGGCCGCTTCATGATTTAACCAAAAGCAAGAACCTAAGCTGATTTTTTAAGGTACTGCTTTCTGTTGCTGAAGGAGGTTCAAAATTTCAAGTAGGTTTTCTCTCTTAGTTTGGAGAAGCCATGATTACAATGAATACTACTAGTAGTTTATATTGTGCCACTGAAAGCTGACAAGAATGGCAAAAAATGTTAGTACAAAAGAGAGAGAGTGAGAAAGGTTTCTTTTCTTTTAATGCCCCTCAGTCCCCAGCTTCAAGTTCTTGGAAGAACAAAATGAAGCAAAATCATTGGTCTGCCAAGAATTTAGAGAATTATGAGAAACAAGTTGCAAAATAAAAAGAAAAAAAAGACTCTTTCTTAATCAAAGTTAATACAGTATTGAGAGACAGAGAGAGACCTTTGAAAGGAACCTGCTTCACTGGGAGCAGTTATATAAAAGGCTTTAAGCCTTTAACTGTAGTAAACTGATGAAGTGATTTGAAATTTGACACCTAGTTGCATTTTTTTTTCAACTCTTTCTTGGCAAAAATAAACTGAAGCACACAAATTAGATTAAACTTGTGGTCTTAATAGGGGTGTTTAATATTTGATCTCAACAAAAGAAAAATCTAAATTCAGTAATTTGGTCTGATTTATTTGCTTTAAATTAAAAAAAAAAAAAGAGTTTTGTTTTGAAACCCAAGCCGAATCATTATAATACAAATTCATCCAATTGAATTTTGAACCAAAATGGTGTCTCAGGGAATGAATATCAGCCAATCAAACAAAAAACCTTGAGATATATGTGTGTGTATATATATACATATATATATAATGTTGTCATTTTGTCACATCCAACATAGAAAATGAATTAAATCAAATGGTGGTTGGTTATTTTATGATCTTTCTAGGGGAAAAAAATTAAGTAAATAAAACTAGACCAGAAAAATTGGCTGTAAAATGCACTGAATTAATTTGTGGCAATTTGGTTGGAACAAAATAGTTTGGTATAAAACTGCCAATGCCCCAAATTTGAAGGCAACAGCTTCTTCTATCATTTCTATTTTGGATTAGAATCTCAATATTGCTTGCAAGATATGCACTTTGTCTCATGATTCATGGTCAGGCATTAGCATTGAGGACATTTTAGCAACCAAAATTTGGCCTAGCCTGTTATTTTTTTATACTTGGAGCAGTTAGGATTTGAATTTTGGTTACTAAAATTAAGGATTCAGTATTTTACCAACAAACCACGATTATTGGCCTAACCATTAATATTTCTTAGATGATGTACCAAAAATTAAAAATAATAAAAGGATATGGGAATTCTTCAGCTCAAGTTAGCCAAGTTTAAGAGAAATGGTGGAGGTTTAATTCAAGTTGTTAAATCAAAGATTCAGATTTTTATCATAAACATTCTGCTATGAAAGTTGGTCCATCCCAAGGATTTTGCATAATTTTTTTCAAGGCATGTAATATAATTTTATAAACAATCAAACATCAAACTAGAAGGGATGGAGCAACGGTGATAGGATCAACAGAAACACATCTAATTAAAGAAAAAAGAAGAGACAAAGAAAAACATACTTTATTCATTACTAATAATTTGGCTGATGACTTTTTAATCCGAGTTTCCTTACAGAGCCATGAAAGAAGTAATAAATTAGATTCTAAAGCAATTGGAGTTCCCACTCAAAGGTGTGTTAATGTCCCATTGGATGTAGTTTCTGGAGTTTCCACTGTTCTTTTGTAAGAAATGCTGCATTAAGTTGCATGGTTTTCTTTCTCTTCTTTTCCTTGAAAAGGATTTCTGAGTCATTGGTGGCTCTTTCAACAGTGCAGCATCGATTACCATTGCTTTTGCTTGATATACATAGCTGCAACTTCCTACACTGTCATGTTTTTAATAAGATTTCAGGATGCGTTGGCTATATCATTCCACGATTGTTGTCTTTCTTGATTTGAGGAAAAAATATTCTTCATTTAAAAGAGACTTACTTCAAATGGGAGACCCTGATTTTTTCTTTTTTCATTAACTTGTAAGTAAGAACTTTCCATTGGGGAACAGGCGTGTTCTACCACAACTCCTCATTCGTAACAATTTGTGTCATTCAATCTATGGTTTCATAAAGCAGAACAATCCCATAGCACCAATGCAGGCTCTTTTAGTCTTTATCTCTGCGACACTGATTTTATCCAACAGCACCTAGCCGAGCTCTGTAAAAAGGAAAAATATGCGATGATCACTTTATCGGTTGACGTGACTTGATCAATTTCAGTTCAAAAAAGCATAAAGCACTTAGGTTGGGGAAAGAAGATAACAAAAGAAGATAATATGCTAATAAGCTGCCGTTGAAACTATTCAAAGATGAACAAAAGAAAACGGTAATGGCAATGCATTGCACTTTTAGCCACCGACCTCTCTGTTGTAGTAAATAACAGCTAAGTGAAAATTTGACATCTGTCAACTCTTAAACAGGGTTGGTAATCGAGCCCACAATACCTCTCACCAGTCACCACCACTGTTCTAATCAGTCTATAAAGCTTAAAACTGAACAAGACAGGAAGTGGAGGAGATAATTTCTCAGCATCTGATTGATTCTGGGGTATCCAATTATAAGCCAAAAAGAAACACCCGATAAAGAACTTTTTGTGGGTACATATCACTTTATTTTAGCTTCAAGGGGATCATGGCAATGCCAAGTTCTTAGCAATTGGAGTCTAAATCTCAATTGAAGATCACTCCACACAAATTTAAGAAGTATGTTCACATGCCATTTCTAGGAACTTGTTTATCAGTATGTTTTGAAAGGAGCTTGTTGAGCTATGGTTGGATGTCTCAAAAGTGATGGCTAACAAACATCCTTATCATGTAACATCTATGATTTCTAATTCTAGAAGGAAAATGATGCATGCTTTAGTTTCGTGTAGATCACAAAACCCTACAGAAAGAGGCATTTTTGAGTTTAATGCAGATAAAAATGGGCAAAAAAGGATAAACATAAGATTTAAGTGGTAATTAAAAGGGTAAATAAGGATAAGGGGTTGAAAAAAAAGGGTTTCTGGTAGGTAGGGTTACTGCCTTACTTGGGTAGTGCCATTTTACATAGGCAAGTAAGGAAAAAGAGAGAGAGGTCTAGGACGACGACTTCAGAATCCTATAGGGAGAGGGAGAGCTGCTTTTACTTTATGCTTTATTTCTTATTTCTTCGAGATATCCAAAAGGATAGGGTGGGGAGGGAAGTGAAAAAGAATCTTGATTGACTTAGTGCTCTCCAATCTAATCATATGACATATTATAGGAAGGTGTTTTTGAGAACTGAGACAAAAATTTACTCAAGTATATGTCAGAAGGATGTGCGCAATTGTGAGGAAAAGTATTGTGAATATGGCAGAGTTCACACTTTTTTTTTCAAATGCATAGTTTTCAAAGGTCTGAATGAAAAACAAAAATGAACATTTTTCTCAATGACTCTGCTTTACAACTGGAAAAGTTTCCTCATGGTTTTTTTTTTTTTTGGTCTGAAAAATGCCACATTCCCCAGATTCTTTTTTCACCCTGTCGGCTTATCAGCGATGTGCATTTCAAGAAAGGATAAACGGATAATTCAGCTCAGCCCACCCAGCAGATTTTGCTCAATCTATCCCAGTGGGGTTACCGTCTTTTGTAATATTTTTCCCTATCAAGCATTTGACAATCCTACATTTTCAGCGTATATATAACCAAAACAAAACAATATGGAGTTACAGAATTCCTACACCCTTTTCTTGGTGGAAACAACTGCTATATTTTGGCAAGCAAACCATCCATTGGACAAGTGAGGGTGAGAAAAGTGTAAAAAGTATATTGAGATCATCATTTCACGGGTTTAATTGAGACGTCATGGTAAGCTCATCTAGCTTCAGATAAACCTATTGATTATGATTGCCTTCCACATCAAGAAAACCGAGCTGCATTATTGGGTTATTAATAGTTAAACATCAACTTCAAATGCCAAACAAGATAATTAGCCCAAAAAATACACAATTTTCAACTCTAATTAGTACCGCTATTGAAGGAATGCTGGTTGAGAACTCCACTCACTCACTCCACTGCCTCGTAGAGTACGTATGGCTAAAGTAGAAGGCAACGAAGCAAGCAACCATAGGGAGTAATGAACCCTGAAAAGAAGCAGTAGTTTTGGTCCCAGAAAAAGGAAAGATGAGAGTAAAAGCTACAACCACCAATCAACTTTTTCACCGCCTTTGTTTATCCTCCAATAAGCCTGCGCTGCACATCAATTCATGTCATGCTTGACAATTCACTTGGAAACATATCTAGGGAGCATATTACCTCAATTTCCTCCCTCTTCTCTCCTTTTCAATCCAATCAAACAAAACAAAAAATCACTTGGTTTCCAGTTTCCACCACTCTTTCGTTTTTTAACTTCAAATTGGGATGGTAAACGACGTGCCACCGCCCACGTGAATTAACTTTGACGCAAAATTAAAAAGGATGCGTGAAACAAAAAGTGAAAAAAAAATTCACATAGCTGTAGTTCTGCTGTTTTATGCTTTATTTGGAATGCGATGAAAATCTCTCACACGTGCATCCAAAGGGCCCTTATTACATAAAGCAATAGAATATTTTCTTTAATAAATTGTATAGATTATATTCAGCAGCCAGTTAACAAAATTTACTTGTTAATTTTGACCAAAAAAAGGCAAAAAAAAAAAGGTACATAAAAAAAACAAAAAGGAAAATCTCCTCGGTGGAGTGAAGCAGCATATCAGCTACAAAATTTATGCTGCTCTATTTGGTTGCCTGTAAATCAGATTTCTTTAATCTCAATCTAAGAAGCCGAAGCAAAAAAAGGTCACCTCACTAAAATTCAATCTTGTATATTTAATTGTAACTCTAATCTTGCGTTGAAGGAAAAGGAGCACAACACAAAGAGATATCAATGCCAGCAACCTCCATGGCATTGCAGACCCATTCAGGGACATCTCCTTTAGGAAACTACAAGACGACAAAGCATCATAAGGTCCAAGAGCCAAATAGAAATTCGTAAATATTTGTATAAATGACCAGTTGATCAAATTAATCTAATAAATGACCAATTAATGGAATATCAAATTAATCTAGTCTTCCTACTTTTGTCTGCAAATTTATGTTGTAAAGTTCGTGCAGCTAGGGTGGTAGCAGTTCATGATGGAGGGCGAAATTGGAACAACAAATGAATGATAAAAATTGCACAATCAACATTCAGTGTCAAAACATGAAAACAAGGAAATGCCTAGATACCAGCTATTTGCCTTGGAAACTGAAGTCCTAATGCTTGAAACTACAAATTTTAAACTAGCAAGCATATCATGTTAAAGGGGAAAAGGTTTCTAAATATGATACCAATCATTTGACATTTGAATATTATACTGCTCTAAAAAGATTGATAATAAACAAATTCTTTTTTCCCTGCTGCTAGCTAATAAGTAGGTGTTTAGCGGGCTAGTAAGATGGTAAATAATGTCAGGTTAAAAGCACTTGGTGGCATGGCAATGTAAGTATTTTAAACTGGGTTATAGTCTTATAGATGCCATCATATACTCAGATCAGCACTGAAAACCTGATGATATTTTATCACTTAAAACTTAGGAGGAACAAAAACCTCAAAATAATTTTAAATTTGACCCAACCATTAGCAAAGACTGAAGTAGATTACACAAGTAGACAAAATTAAAAGATGAAGGATGTGAAGCACAACTGGAAAGCCATTAACATTTTAGAAAAAATCAATGGCAGGAGGAAAGAGAGAGATGGAAATACCATTTTCTGCAAAAAACTGCATACAAACCTGCAAAAAAGATTTAGAAAGTAAATTAGCTTTTACCGCATGAAGCAAAATGAGAAATAAAAATAAATGAAAGCTGGACAAAGCAAGAGGCAAACATACTCAGGAAACCTCCCCTGGACCATGGATGAGTGTAGATTTCTGCTAAGCTGCAATTGTCAAAGATTTACTCACAGTCATTAAAAAAAGTAAACATGAAAGCAGCAAAGCTTAAAACATAGAAACTTTAAGGTTGTACCTGCATCATATAATATAAATTATGATATGAAAGAAGCTGAGATCCCATGGCATCCTTTGCAACAAGAGAATGGATGTAGGCCCTCGTGTAATTCTTGCATACCTATATTTGCGTAAATAGAGTAATGCCATGATATACCAAAAAAATAAATTCATATACCAACAATTTTAAGCAACTGTGTCATGAAATGCATACCATACAAGCACATGTAGGATCAATAGGGCGAGTATCCTCAGCCATTGCCCTCTGCTTGAGTTTAAGCACTCCCTGCAATAAGTACTTGAATAACATCAGAATACTAAAATTACATTTTAAATAAAAAAAATGGGGTGTATTTAATACCCTTTAGCATCACAATCCCTATAGAGCATGTGCCAGTAACTTATTAAAATTCATAATAGAAATATCAATTCATAGGCAGGTAAACTTATGAGACCAAACTTGTCGCATAACTATAGATACAAGGGTTAACAAAACACACTAGGCACAAGTTATAGTAACACATTCAATGAGAACAATACTAGAAGGCAAACAGAAAGGATGGCAAGCTGTAGCTTAGAGCAATAAACTCCATTCATATGTAAACCAAAGTATATGATAGCACTCGGTGAACAAGATTCAAAACATTAACTCCAAAAACTTTGTAAACATATCACCTCAGGAACAAGGGCAGTGCCAAAACGAGCAGTTCGAGTAGGATAAACACAGTCATACATGTCAGCACCTAATGCACTACAAACTACAACATCCAGTGGATACCCAACACCCTGAAACGTAGAAAGCACAAATATAATGATACAGAGAAATCTAAATGGAGGAAAAAAAGGTAGTTCTTCAGAATCTAAAGATATAGATTACAATGATAAAACTCATTTGTACCATGACATATCGCGGTTTATCTTCAGGCAGTGCTGCAGTACACTGAGCAACAACACGCCAAAATGAATCTTTATCTTCACCGCCTGCAAGACCACCAATAGCATAGCTGTCACACAAGTGAACTTAGTTAATTCAGCTTGTTGTTTACTGAATCTTTATGCTGTTAGCAAAAAGCTAGTAGTAAAGAGAATCTAATATTTATGAATGTTAACAACAACAGAAAGAGAGCTGAAACAGAAACTGCCGGGTAAGTTGAGTAATTATAGGTGAATAAAAGCAAGTAATTAGCAAAAGTAGATCATAAAACAAACAATAAAGAAAGGCAATCAAAATAGCTAACAACGATCCTTTCATTACTTGCTTTGCAAATTTACCACATGGGCTATAACAATACCAGGCATCTAGGTTATCCTAGCCTTAACATCTCTCAAGAATAATAATAATGCTAGGAATCAGAGAGATTTAGATATTGAGTTATATTTTCTTAAATAATCAAATAGTAAAATCAACCTTTTATTTTCTAGTCCTGGAAAACTGACTTAGATATTGAAATGCAATGTGGAAAATTCTATGGCAACTTGCTAAAGTATGAAACATCAAGATCTTATCATCTACTATAAAAAGATCATAGGAAACATAGCATCAGTAGGACAGTATTCCTTGATATAGAATGCACATACCCTGGTAAATTTCGATCCACCAACCCTCTAACACATATATCCCTGATAAAAACAGGTATCAGAAAAGGGTAAAAAATTACTAGAAGTACCATTAGCAATTGAAAGCGGGGGTAAAACACACATCAAATAGCAAGGTTGCAAGAGGAAGATCAGAGATTCACCTTAGTACTGGATCTAAACCACCTTGTACAATACCAAACAAGTTCTGCTCATGTGGTCTTTTATGAGCTGCCAGAAGATCAAGGCAGCAAAAAAAGACCTAACTCAATCAGAAATGCCACCATTACGAGAATGACAATATTAAATAACCACTACTTAAGACCAGTACCTAATTAAAAAAAGGGACACCAGAAAGAGCTATGGTTACATGAGTGATGGAAAATTGAGGGATCCAAGTGCAAAAGGTAAAGGCTGATATTTAATGAAATAAATGACATTAAACAATAACATTGTGTTGATATTGCATAATTATAACACACTGGCTAAGCACATTTAAAAAAGCTTTAAAGTCCAAGTACGCAAGCCTGATACAAGATAATTCACCCTAACAAGCTCAAGGACAGGTACACAAGGCAAAATGTTTATTTAAAAGTTAAACCATTGGTAAATTATATGTTTTTCAGCCAAATGGTTAATCCATCAATGCAAGAATCATGAGTGACAGACAGTCTTAAGCATTATTACCAGCTATACATCTGTCCATCCAACGAAGGGTACGATACATGGCCTCTTCAATTCGTGGACCAGTAATAGTAGTTTTCACCACATCATCAAGAGCCATTATGATATCTGCTCCAATTCTATTCTGTATAATTATTGGGAGATGACAAAGTTAAAATGGAATGAATTACAAAGACAATAAGCCCGAGAAAGTTTTAGGAATTTACTGTTAAGGGCTAAAAGAGTAAAGGATCAAGGATAAAAAGTTAAGGCACATAAAATAAGTTCTGTTAATATATAGACAAAAGCATAAGGTTTTGATAGCAACTGGTCCTTGGTTTTTGGTAGATCTTTAAACTGCTGACCGTTACAAACTAATAAACACCTAAGTAAAACTACCACCAACATCATGTACTGACAGTAAAAAATCTGTGTAAATTACACTATCAAGCATTTGAAAACAAGCACCCCTTGTTTATAAAGAATCAACCTTTTAAGTCAACAAAATTTCAATTCATTGCTTAAAACAGACCAATTACTTTGTTGAACGACAATCGAGAATAACAAAAAAGCCTCCTCTCATCCCATTAATATGAACCAGTGTTACAAAATTTAGGGGGAAGAGAGAACTAAGTTTTTATCACAATATATAACCTAACAGGAATAACAAAAGTAAGCTAAAGAAAAGCACCTACTTGGATTTGAATAGATTCCTCTGGTGTTAGAAGCATTTGCTTTCCATCTACTGGGGACTGAGTTAAGGAACATGAAGACTTGGTTACAAGTAAAACAACACAAAAGCAAGAAAGGATTAACAATGAAGAAGTACACTTGCAGCTAATACTTAAGCAGATTATTATGTTACAACTCATTTTCATTACATAGAATTCCAAAATTTCATGAATACCAACGAAAAATAAGAATAAAGAAAACAATTACCTGAAATGTTACACCCTTTTCAGTGATGTCAGCTAAATGCAGCAGTGATACCTATAAAGTAATCAGCAAAAGAGATTGTACACTTTAACACATATATCACTAAAACTGAAGACTATTGTGGATGAAGATCTTCAATGAATGTGATCATCCAAAATTATACACACTTGAGATCATGACTTAAGGAGTGCAGTAACAATGTTATCAAAATTTAGAGAAAGGAAAATGAGCAAACATCATAGTTTCTAAATTCTTGTTCTTTTTTATCTTAAGATGCTCATGCACAGAAGCCACAGAAACTGTACATAGGCATGCACATAATCACAAGTAAGTGAAAAATTTTAAGAAAAGGATAAACAATATAGTGAACCAAAAAAATTAGAGAAATACAGCGCTGTGTCAAATCATAAGACAACCATCTGAAAGCCTCCTGAATCAGTCAGCAGTGCTCTAGGCCAGTTCATAAATTTGTGAAGACCACCCAATTCATCAATAAGCTCAGACGTAGGACGAAGTGCCAGGTGATATGTATTCCCAAGAATTATTTGACAACCAATCTCCTCAAGCTGGTTAGTTGTTAAACCTTTTATTGTACCTACAAAGAGGAGGACCAACCATGTCTTCTAGTCAAACAATCTAAGACATCAAAGGCACACAATGCAGTGAGTTGATGCATGCTAAAGTGTTTGAACATACTGACACTTGCAAGCATTTAATGCCAAATTATTTGTAGCAAACACGTGAATGCAAGTCAAAGTTGTTTTAGACTCTTAAGAAAGCAGTAAATTGATAGAGAGGTAAAGTATAGAGTGCAGGGCATGTGTATTCAAGGAATTCTTTTCTCTCGTATGCTAAGAAGTCAAAACTCACTGCCTTGTATGTTAGATCCATCTTGAACAATCCATGCTCAATGTGCTTTCTACTGAAAGCAATACTGGATACTTATATTCACAACTAGTCATCAGTAGAATCAAATATTAACATATTCATCGCCTTTTTCTTGTTGAAGAGGAAGACATACGAGTCTTCTTGGTTTTAAAAGGTTATGAGAATATACAAGCTGAGAACAACAACAAAGAATTAATAAGGACATTGACGTGAAACATCTGAAAAGACTTTTAAAAAACCATCTAAAGTTTAATATATTTGCAACCCTAAAAGATTTAAGATCCCGATAAATTGTTCTGAATATCCTAAATATGCTAAGAATGCGTATGATATTAAACACTCCAACCTTGAGTTCCCACAGGCATAAACAGAGGTGTCTGGCATACAAAGTGGGGGAGCGTTAGTTGAGCCGCCCGAGCATGATTAAACCTCCCTAGAACCTATCAAAACCAGAAACAAATTTCTATATTAGCAAACAACCAAAGCTCCCTAGGCGAAATCAGAAAACATGATTAAAATTAGAACCATCAAGACTGAGAAGAATAAAACATTATCACGTCCATTAATTAAAATTTAAAATATCCCCATAATCCAGGAACACAAGTAATAACTAGTATGAAGAAACCATTACCCAAAAGAAACAGAAAATGTTTAAAAAAATAAAGGTCAAGCAACTTCCATTAAGAGAGATTCTTCCATTAAAAAGTTAAAAACAGTTGCTACAAATCATCATTTTCAACCGCTGCTATTTTCCTTTAATTTTTTTCCATTATTTCACAGACGGAAGACAAAATAATAAAAAAAAATCTAACACTAAGAGGAGGCAGCGTATACCTATTTGTTAATTTAAGATGATTTTGGCTCAAAAATTAAATATAAAAAATGCAGCATTCAAAACTTAAAGTCCGACCTCGAAACGAAGCGCCATCAAACAATTTTCTCTCCCGTTCCTTTAGCTGTATATGGATAAGGCTGTAACTTGCATATTAGGAGAAAAAAAAAACATTAACAAAGTTAGTTCCAAATATAAAAGAAAAGACAACAAAAGCACCGCAGCTGTTATCAGTTAAGTTTACCATGCTATCTCGCATAAGAACGCTAAAAACAAACCAGGAAGAAACAAAGCGAGGAGTAGAGGATGGAAACTTACGCAAAGAGATGGAGGAGGAGGAGGATATTCCGTCAAAGAAGGCGAGAAAAAGGATATTGGCGGCGGATAAAATGCACTACTATGCGGAAGAGAAAGAGATGTCCTATCTGCTATCTCTCCGCAGCGGCTTTGTTTTCAACTGTGAGCATAGACGGATTCAAAATTTATGTTCAACTAATATAAATAATATTAAATATATAAATATAAATTAACTCAAATATATAAAATATTATTTTGTTTATACACAAAGATAATATATTATAATTATTTTTTAGATAACATATTATAATTATTTTTTATCAAATTTCTTATTGAGAAAATAATTTTTTTAAACATTATCTTTTTCATTGGGAATAGTTTAAAATCTTTTTTATAACTTTAAATTAATGAAAATCATTTAGATATAATTAAATATGAATTTATTTTATAAAATGTTGTATATCACTATTATTAATTTCGAATGATTACTTTAAAATTGATTTTTTTTAATAAAATATTTCTTCAAATCTAAATAAATTAGAGAATTTAATTTATATAATTTCTAATAAATAAGAAGATAATGTTACCGTTTACATTAGATATTGAAATATAATTATTCAAATAAAATCAACATGTATATTTTATTATGTATTTTGAATTTAATTAAATAATATAATTTTATATATAAAAATAATTTCATAAAATTTAAATTATTTTATTGATCAACTTAAGAAAATATAACATTTTTTTATCTTAATCCACTTATAATATAAATATAAATATAAATAAATCATAAATTAAGTACCAAATCAAATTATTTTATCATATAAAAAAATTTATATAGTAAACAAATATTTTATCACAAAAGCAAACGATAATAAATATAAAAAAATAAAAAACGTAATTACTTACTTAAATATATTGATGGAAGAAAAAAAATGTTCACTCCTTAATTTATTTCTTTAGTTTATTGGCATTTTTTTTTTGTTCTTTTGTTATTTTTTAACTTCTATTCTTTATCTATTGCAATTTTTATGGGTTTGAACCAAGGGAAAAATTATAAGTAGAATAAAAAAATCACTTTTTATTTTACTTTAATTGTTTTTTAAATGAAATGTTAATTCTTAAATAAAAATTATTTATAAAAGTTTATTTTACTTATATTTATGCATGTGATCTTATTATTTTTGTAAAATAAATAATTTATATTACAATTATAATTCTATTTTTTAAACTATATTTATAAAAATATCATATATATTTTATTTTTTTATTTTTAGTAGAGGTAAATTATAAAAAAATTAAAATTTTTAAAAACTTTTATAATAATTTATAAGGGCATTAGCATCTCAATGGGGTACCCCACTCTGGATCCGCCCTTGATTGTGAGTGCCGGGCGCAGGTTTTTTTCTTTCTTTTTTGCTTTGTTTTTTTCGTTTCTTTGTTGTTTTCTTGGCTTTCGGTTTCCCGGCACGCCTTGATGGATGTATTTGATAAGGGTGCAGAACAGCTGTCCAAGTTCCAACGGTTTTTTTGTACTGAATACGTGGCAGGTCAGGTCGGTCATGAAGTCAACTGAGCCCAATATTTATTATGACAGCCCTTACACTGCCCAGAGGCCTATAGTTGAAAACGGGCCAGTCAAAGCACGATGTTGCGGACTTGGTTGGTAGCTTGGAAATGGAGATTGGATTTATCTACAACTTACCAGTAATCTGTATAGAATATAATAATCAGTCTATAATCTATATATATTATACAAGTGTCGAATGATAATTTTTTGAATTGAAAAAAATAAATGTCATTTTTTGAAAATTATTTTTTATTAGTTAGTTTATTGATTTTAAGTAATCTAGTTTTAATTCAATTCTTTCATTATTATACAAATCGATTTTTTCAATAAAGTTGTAATCCTGTTACAATTATACAATTTAAATATAATTATTATTTATGTTGATTTTTATAGTCAATTTCAATTGCACTTTTTGATCTCACTCTATATCATCTTCTTCTAAATTAGAAAATAAAAATCAAGTTGTTACAATTAATAACTAGTTCAATTTTATTTTTTTATTTATAATACGTGAATATTAAATCAACGTACTTTTTAACAACTTAAATAATAAAGGTAATGAAATTACTCAAAGAATGTTTAAACTTTTATTTTATTTTTAAAGACGATGAACTTCTTTTAGTACATTATTATTATTGTTATTATTATTATAAAAATATACTAAAAATATAATTCACGTACAGATGTAATATTTTTCATTAACATGTTTTAATTTATGTGTACTATATAAGAATATATTAGTAATATACATTGTACGTCATCATATATTAATATATACTTTTTTGTCTCTTTTTTTTTAATGTAAAAAATTATGTCATATTTTTTAAATGTATAAAACTTTTATTTTTTATATTTTAAAATATTTTTTTAATATTAAAAATAAAAAACTTTAATTTGATAAAAAAATTTAAAATTTAATACTAAACACATTAAAGTCAAAATATTTTTTAAATTTCATGAAAATCAATAATATTCCAATAATTTGGGAAGAACAAATATAAAATATTTTAAAATGATGAAAATGTAAATTAATATTCATTATATTTCTAAATTTTTATTTTATTTTATTGAGCAAAGCCAATAAGCAAGTAGTTAAACATGAAAGACACGATTAAACTTGACAAACCACTTTTAGATGTCTAAGTTATTAACAAATAATTAAATTCACTCAAAATAGAATGAGCTTAAATATCTATTTTTACAATATGACTCCAATGGGAGCTAAATTTCTTGTAAACATGTCTAATTTGTTCCAACAACATGCTTGTTTCCGCTTATTTATTCCACCAAACACAAACACATGGAAAGAAGATTGATCTACTCCCAAATTTGAGCAGTCTCTTCTTACTACATTTTCTTTATCCTGATACTATTTCTATTTGAACTCACGCAATCTGGACACTTACGGGCATGCATGTACTTGTAACAATTTCCAACATTTCTCATTGAACTTTCCTTTCTTTAGATTAGATCTCCGTTTCCCTCGATTTACTAAACCCTAACTCGATCCCATTGCCACTGCGATCAAAGCTTCCTCTTATTCTCTCTCTCTCGTTCGATCCACTAAATGCTCGAAATTTCTTTTTGCTAATGATTTGCTTCGCTAACTGATTGATTGACTTGTGTATAGAGGGGGAGGAGATTGAATGATCTATAAAAATGCCGCACATTCCGGCGACGATCGAGGAACAGTTATTTTTGAAAGCGATGAGGGAAGAATGCCTGTGGGAGAATTTGCCTAAACGGCTTCAAGCCACTCTTAATTCCAAAGAAGAATGGCACAGAAGGTTAGTTTGGATTCTGCTGCTTTCTTTTCTTTTACTTTTTTTAACGGCAGCTATAAGGATCATTTAGTTTGTAGCTTTGAAAAAACTGAATATTTTGTTTTAGAGAGTAAATTTAGGATCAATTTGCCAAACAGAGCAGATTATAATTGTTAGTTTTCTTCTTCTAAGAGGAAGTACTTACTTCATGCTTAATAAATGATTGATGGATTAGTTATGTTATGGCAAGGGAGTTATGTGAAATAGTCAATGAAATTAATTGGAAATTTGAACTGGCATTGCTCTTTTATAGCCATTGTGAGAAAGATCTTTGGGACTTAGGCAGATTGGACCATGTTTCTTCTGTGTGTCGAGGTTTGTCTTCCCCAAATAAGAATTTGTGCATAGATGATTTGGTTAAATGATTTGATGGATCATCCAGCATTCAAGTGTTGTAGAATTTGCTTTGTAATAGTGATCTGTAATTTGGCATGCTTCTGTTGTTTAGCCCTCTATCTTGAAGCAATATACGCTTCTTAGGTTTTGGAAAATGTAGCTTTTTTTGGTATTTCATGTTAGAAAAAATAAATAAGAGAAGAAAAATAATAGAAAAGAATTTTTGGTTTGAGGTGTGAAGAACACTTTTTTAAAGGCAATTATGCCTTTAGGATACAATAAAACCTTAAACTCTCCAATTAGAAATAGTGAAAATGGTTATATTGAAAGATTTATGTATAATGAATGAACAGACATAAATTTTTATTTAGATGGTTATGACCTTTTGTATAATCATAACCTTTATGAATAATAATCTATTTATATTCAAATAATGAATGAACAGACATAAATTTCTATTCAGATGGTTATGACCTTTTGTATAATCATAACTTTTATAAATAATAATCTATTTATATTCAAATGGTTATGACCATTTGTCATATGATAATTATTTCTGTTTAACCATAATTATTTAAAATATGAATAAAATTAATACAAAAATTAATTTTATTCATCAATAATTAAATCTTTCTATTTAATGCAAGATGCACCACATTCTAAACTACCAATAGTCTTTCACTTTGGAATGTTGGTGCTTACTTTTTAACCTTTTATGCAAATAAAATATTATAAATACAATAAGGTATCTCTCGATTTAAACCTTCAATTAGCATATATATCTTACAATTAATATTTATACGTGTCAAAATGTTTAAATTTGTTAGAATAAATTTTTGTAGTAATAAATAATTAATCAATAAATAAAAATAAATGATAAAATATTTAATTAAAATTTTTGATAATTTGTTAAGTTTAAAATAAACCTTAAAAAATAATAATAATTAAAATAATAAAAATCATTTAATAAAAATAATAAAAAACGGTTCGGTCAATGCAAGTTTGGTTGGTTTGACGGTTCAGTCTGGTTCAACTAGATCAGTCAGAAGTTGAAGGATTCTGGGTTGTTGGGTCGGGTGCATGGACCCTTGGTCAGGCTAGGGTCGACGCACAGATCTTTTGAGTATTAAACGACGTTATTTTGGTTTTGGTAGCAACTATAAAAGCCTAAAATTTTTTTATTCATTTTCTCTCTTCCTTTTCTCTCTTTACCCCTTTATCTTCTAGATTCTCTCTGTCTAACTTCAATTGGCTGCCACTACTCCCAGAATTTGGTGTTAGTGCACCATGCCATTCGTTGATTGTCGTAGCCGTCCACCGGTCGTTGGTTGCTAGAAAACCCAAAAACTTCAAAAAGACCTTCGCCTTAACCCTTAAATATAGATCCGAGTCTAATTTTACGAGAAACGACGTTAAACTATGTAGATTGA